GATGAACCAACCAATCCTTGGACAAGATGAACCAACCAATCCTTGGACAAGATGAACCAACCAATCCTTGGACAAGATGAACCAACCAATCCTTGGACAAGATGAACCAACCAATCCCTGGTAAAGATGAACCAACCAACCCTTAGTAAAGATAAACCAACCAATCCTTGGACAAGATGAACCAACCAATCCTTGGACAAGATGAACCAACCAATCCTTGGACAAGATTAACCAACCAACCCCTGGACAAGATGAACCAACCAACCCCTGGACAAGATAAACCAACCAATCCTTGGACAAGATGAACCAACCAATCCTTGGACAAGATAAACCAACCAATCCTTGGACAAGATGAACCAACCAACCCCTGGACAAGATGAACCAACCAGCCCTTGGACAAGATGAACCAACCAGCCCTTGGACAAGATGAACCAACCAGCCCTTGGACAAGATGAACCAACCCCTGGACAAGATGAACCAACCAATCCTTGGACAAGATAAACCAACCAATCCTTGGACAAGATGAACCAACCAGCCCTTGGACAAGATGAACCAACCAGCCCTTGGACAAGATGAACCAACCCCCTGTTGTCGCAGGAGAAAATTATATAGTCAGAAACTCATGAGTCAAATTTCCTGAAAAAAACCGTTTAGTTTTGTTGATAACAGAAAGGCTCAACAGGCCTTATCAAACCTTAATACACAAGACTTAAAATAATGGACAATTACGTGCTTTAGAAAATCCTTTCAAACAAACGCAATTAACTTCCAACTCTTTAAATAAAACAATGAAATAAAATACAATGTTATGCTTGTGCATCCGTTTTTTAATTCAATTTAAATTTTTAAAACTATTCAATAATGTAGAAGATAATGTCGCTTTAGGTTTTAAAACTATTCAATAATGTAGAAGATAATGTCGCTTTAGGTTTTAAAGTGAGATGAGGCGAAACCACAATTGAAGCTAATCAGTTTTCCAATTTATAAACATTGATATCTAATTCATATCTGATTAGACAAAACTTTGAAGGGTACCGTTGTGAATCGAGCATTGTGGGTCACTTGAAGTTACGTTAACAGTCTCTTTAGTGTGTTTGATAAACTCTGAAGAGTGAATTGGACAATTACCGCTATTGACTAAATTATATAATGGTGTTAACGGAAAATTCAAAACCCTTTATTCTCTCCATTGCAAAATTAGTATTGTATCAGGGACCAGATGTTATGAATATTGAGAAGTCGTTAAACTCAATAGAGACGGCTCAACCTTGAATCTTTTAAACCTTTTCCGGAACTCAGAATGGTTCGAATTGTCGGAGAATTTGTCTTCATCAGCTGACGTCAAAATCTTGAACTTTTGAGTGATTCAGGATTTGAGCCACTGAAAACTTGAGATTTATTTGACCTGTGTGGTTGGTAATTCAGCGACCTCTCTCCATTCATAAAATTCAGTCCCAGGTAAATGTTTTACAGCCCCTTGTAACTAATTTGATAGTCTTAAAGAAAAATCTCTCTTGCTCAATTCCTTCCTCATCTTCTCAACTCCTCTCTAACCTCAACGTTCATTCTATCATTATTCATGTCTAGAAGGGAAAGAACAAAAGGGCTTTTACAAATAAGTGCTTTTACACTTTTATAAAACTTTATTCAAATACAGAGGAGGGCCAGGGGGGACCAGGAATACATGGACAAAAGGATACGGAAATACTGTACATGGATACAGAGATGTAGGGATACAGGAATACAGCGGTATAGGGGTATCAGGTTACAGGGCTACAAGGATACAGGATACAAGGATACAGGGGTACAAGGATTCAGGGATACAAAGATACAGGGATACATAGGGATACAGGATATCGGAAATCAGGGATACAGAGTTTTAGTAAAACAGGGATACGAGGATACAGGGATATAGGGATTCTGGAATACGGGGATACAATGATATAGGGATACAGTAAATGCCATAGATGCTTGAATTAAGGGATACAGGGATACATTGTTTACAGGGATACATTGTTTCAAGGATACAGAGATACAGGTACACATGAAAACAGAAGTACAGACAACACATGGATACAGAGATATTGAGATTCAGAGAATACTTTGTGTAAACAGAGATATACAAAACATACATACAGATAATACGGATACAGAGATAGAGAAAGCATGAATACATTACCATGCAAAATTTACAAAAGAATAAAAAGATAAAAAGATAAAAAGATAAAAAGATATAACAGTTTTTACAATTTTAATGATTTTACCAATTTAAATGATAAGTCTGCAGAGTGTATTTATGTCAAGAAAAGGAATTAAACTGTCTCAAAGTTTTTCCTAAAATTATCCTTTTACCTTAGGAATAATAAAAGTTTTAGATTGCTTACAGTAGTTAAAATATTATTAAATGATAATGAAAATTTTCTGTAGACAACAAACTTAAGAAAACAAAAACATTATGAAGTGATAAATAAAACAACTTTAATAAAAGATTGCCTAACGACTTTTAAATAAACTGTGACATTTTGAACCAATCAGGCAGTAGTTGTCTTAAACCAATCAGGCAGTGTTAGTCTTAAACTAATCAGGCAGTGCTTGTCTTGAACTAATCAGGCAGTGTTTGTCTTGAACCAATCAGGCACTGTTTGTCTTGAACCAACCAGGCACTGTTTGTCTTGAACCAACCAGGCAGTGTTTGTCTTGAACCAACCAGGCAGTGTTTGTCTTGAACCAATCAGGCAGTGTTTATCTTGAACCAACCAGGCAGTGTTTGTCTTGACCTAACCAGAAAATGTTTGACAAAACAAATAAAATGATTCGGAAAAACTGTAACCTATTTATATTTTATTATAAAACCTTGAAAACAAGCTTAGTTGTTTACTACTAGCCCACAAATTAAATAATATGATGAAAGTAGAAAATACTATTTAATGCATGAAATAAATCCAATTAAAATTGTATGTCTGAGCTAAAGCTATAAAATGAAATATCAATTAATTAATTTATTATTGCAAAACTCTGTAATTTCAGATTACATTCATTCTTCCCAAATATTTTGAACTTTAAAACAGAAAGCTTTACACAAGAAAAGTTTATATTGTCAGAAAATTTTACATAATAAATTAAACCTCCCTTTTTAGATGAAAATATTTAACATTCTGAAAACTCTAAATGATCAGTATGACTGAATTGCAAAAGAATTTAGTTCATGAATAAATTGTGTGATGCAGTTATTTTGAATTAATAACATGTGCAGCTTTTTATAATGAATAGATTACATTTTGTTGTACTGTTTTATTACCCGCTGACTACGGGTACTAATCCGTTAGTATGTACAACATCCGTTCAATGTCCAGCCGGTAACTCCTGCAAGGATGGCACATGTACACCCTTCACTGGAGTGTACAGAAACAGTTGTAATAAACCAGCTGACTGTCCACTAGAGTACGATTGTGATGTAAATATCAACATGTGCGTAGTAGAAATCTGCATACAAGATGAAGACTGCCCCAACCTGGGCCCTGGAAGCTATGCAATATGTAATGCTGGACAGTGTGCAGTTGGGAATGTGCAAAACGCCTCTCAAGACCGTTCTGAGCTTCTTCAGGTAATTTTTGAACAAATTTTAATCGTATTTCAATGTAAATTAGAATTTCAGGCAATCAAAACACTTCTAAAGGGATATATAGAAGAAAATAAACGTTGAAAAGGTAACCAAATGTTTTAATCTTATATCTCGATCAAATAAACTGATTGAATATTAAATCTTGATGTAAAATTAAAAAAAATAAAATGACAAAGTAAATCTTAAATTAAATTTTAAATTAAATTTAGTTCATGGTAATTAGAATTCAGAATTAGATTCAAAACTAAAATAAATGAGCTGAACTATTTTTGTTCTTTAAAAGTTTTTTTTCTAACTTTTAACACGATTTCAAATAAAGGCCATAAAACTGAAAATATATCTTTTATTTACCATTAAACATTCTTATTATATCTATGATTAGAAATAGAAAATCATGACCAATCTCTTTTATACATAAACTATAATTACCAACTGCATTAATAAAGTTTGAAACTAATTTTGAAATTTTTTTTTTATATTTTAGGAACAAGAAACAATTGTTTCTTGAAAAATGATGCAGAACGGTTTGTTTAAAAACTGTTTGGTTTAAATAAAAATAAATATCTTCAATTTACTGTTCTTTTAAATTGTAAAAATTGATAAATAAATAGTCGAACTGAAACGATATTAAAACACAAAATAAACAACTTTAGTAGATTTTGTAAATGGATTTTCAAAGACAGATCACCTTTTAGCAAGTCTGTTCCCGGTAGTCCGTAGACCAAGCATCACTGCATAGACTTGAAAGGTTTAATCAATTTTCAAGGCTGGGTTGACATTTTAGAACTATAAACCACTTCTTCCAGCTTTAGTTGAATAGGATTAATAGACAAAATGCTTAAAGATTTTTTCTTGCAACTTTAGCCACTGTGAACTAGACATTAGGGGAAGTTCAAATTTATGCAACATTAATGGGATGGCTTAGTGACCTAGTATCTTCTGTAATTCTTATTTTACGCATAAGTATGAGAAATATGATAGAACTAAAATATTTCTAACTGTGAATTCTGTCAGATAAAATTTAAAATTTAAAAAATTTACACCATTTGGTCTACAAGAAAATAAAGATTAGAACATTTGAGTTTGTAGCAACGACTATATTACTTTATCTGAGCTGAAAACTTCAGAATGCGATATCCTTAATCCCGATTACTTAATCTAAGTATCCAATGGATCCAGACTTTTGATTTTCTTCTTAATCCTCTCTTTTTGGATACCCCTACTGTATAAAAGTTACTTTTGATAACAATTACAGATACGATGCTATATCGATTGAACTAATATCCGATTGAACTTAAGGAAGCTTTTCACAAACGGGCTATTAAAGCATTTAAAGAAATATAATTTTAATCATGTTAATATGAACTTATTAAAAAACATATTTTATCACATTTAAGAACTGTAGTAGTTTTGAAAGTTAGTCCAAAAATTACGTTCGTTCAATCGATCTTTAGTTCTATTGATATTACTCCATTAACACCAGAATGCGCAAAAATAATAAAAACCGGGTTTTTAAAAAGGTAAAAAAGTGCGTCTTAACATGACGCGCTGATTGGTTGAAATTTAAACTTCTTTCTTGGATATCGAGTGCATATTAACCTTATCTTGAGTTTAGTTAAACCAGGAGATCAAGCATTGATCTCAATATCCACTATTCTAAAGTTTTCAGCTCTGGTTACATAAAAAAATTTCAAAACATTTATGGTCTTGTTAAAAGCTTTTCATTCAGATGAGTTATGATTGAAAACATCTAATATTTCCATCTTACATGCAACTGACTTTATCAGTTTGACGTGTAGAATCACAGTGGCATATACTTCATATCTGCAGAATTGTCCTTTTATAATAAGATATGTAAATTAGAATAAATTAGATTGTGGATTAAATATAGACAGCTCTTGAAATTTCCCAGTGTAATTAGATATGTTCAAACTAAACACTTAACTGCTATACATATATTCAGTAAAAGCAAAATCCTTAAAATTGATAATTCTCTAATTAATAATAATTAATCTATATATAAATTTGGCTTGTCTGTCTGTTTGTCTGTCTGTCTGTTTGTATCCAATAAACGTCAAAACGGCTGAACCGATCGGGCCCAATTTTTTTGTGGGACATCTAGGGACCCCAGGGAAGGTTTATGAATGATTGAAATTTTAAATATTTGTCTCCATCAAAATTCTATCTTTATTAATTTTTTTTAAATTTTAAAAATCCACGAAATTATTTTTGAAAATCCGCAAATTATTTTTGTTTTGTTTTACGATGCACACAAAGAGAACATGTTCACAATTAATTTAGAAGATTAAGGCTGAGGCTAAGGCTAGTTTATATATAAATTTGGTTTGGGTGTCTGGGTGTTTGTTTGTTTGTTTATATGTTTGTATCCAATAATCGCCAAAACTTCTTAACCGATCGGGCCCAAATTTTGTGTGGGGCCTCACGTGACCCCAGGGGAGGTTTATGCATGATCAAAGTTTTAGAATTTTGTGCTTAAAAGTTTTTCATCTTCGTAAAATTTTGAAAACGTGCGAAAAATATTATGAAATCCGCAAACTTTTTTGTTTTTGTTTTATACTGTACAAAGAGAAGATGCTCACAGATAAAGCCACAATTCAATGTTGAAATAGAAGAATTACAAATCCTAATACCCAGCGGCTAAAATAAATAAATTTACAGGGGTTGAAACCTAAAAATATTCAAAAATGTAATCCCCAGCGAATAAAAGCAAAAAAGTACTTTAAAAATGTAAGTATCCTAAAGAGTGCGTTTACTATTTATTAGTTGATGAAAGAAAAGGGTTGTCTTAGTCTAGACTGCGTAGAGTAAATTTCAACGGCTCCGCTAAATTTATTTTCTCTAAAGTATACATCATTGCCAAAAATTAAACATTGGTTGCTGTCACCTGGTCAAATCAAATATCAATTGCAATCATACTGTAAATGATTTTATTCGACCGACGGGTCTAGGCTACCCAGTGTGCAGTAGTCGACCCAGCATGTTTGATGCACAAAATGTGAGCTAGCTGGATCGATGTGAGCTAGCTGGATCGATGTAAGTATAGTATTTTTGTTAACTCTAGACGTTTTGCTCTGTTTGTACATTTATTATGAAAGTGTGTTGAGTGTATAAATATGTACATATATTGCAATATCATGTATTATATATAATGGATGGTGTGTAAGCTCAATTGCTTTGGTCATTTACTCTAGTCATTCATATCTTGGGCACAACAAGTCTATACACTTCTAGATCATAGATAAATACAAAAATTTAACAATTCTCTAGAGTTTTATATAAATCAAACACATAAAAATGTTTTTTATTCACCCTTTATTTATAGTTATGAAATAGTTATAACAAGTTCAATGTTAAAGAAATTGTCAAAAGTTATCTTATCAACTTTTAAATGAAAAGAAAAAGAAAATTATGAAAGAGACCATTATAGTTCCATTTGAATTCAATTGATCCTCAATGTACAGATGACAATGCCCAATTCACAACGGTGCCCTTGAAACCTTTATCTGATTCACAACGGTACCCTTGAAACCTTTATCTGATTCACAACGGTACCCTTGAAACCTTTATGTGACCAGCAATGTAACAGATATCGTCTCTCTATTTTTCTGTCGTTTTTCTAGGTTTAAAAGTGTTTAGTTCTGATAATTCTTAAGTTTTCCTGATGTAGAAATGCGCAAGTCACTTTTCTAAAATTATAAACATCGATATCTAATACATGCTTGATCAGATAAAGCTTTTTAAGATACCGTTGTGAATCTGGCATTGCCAGCTTTGAATGGAGATTTTTTACATTTCCAAATATAAAAGATACAGAATTGAGTTGCAAAAGTAAAAGCTCGTTTTATATTTAAATCACTTTCTTCTTAAAAAATATTCAAATTACTAAACTAAGATAGGACGCACTGTTTTCTCGCTTGAACCAACAATGTAAGAGAGAAACTTAAACGAAAAGGAAAATGGAAAGTAATTAAAAAGAAGGAGAACTATATTCTTGCCTTTTTAAAAACTTCTCCCCTCTCTCTGAAATTGATCACCGTCCCTCCTAGACTCTCTATTTTACCAACAATAATTTTCTTTTCTTTATTCCAAACTCATCTTATTTTTACAGGAATTTCAAATTACTCACTTAATTTAAAACAGTGTTCAGTCTTCACACTAGAGTATACCATATATAATCTTCCTGGGTTATTCTAGAAATTAGATTGGGAAAATTAAATTTTTGGAAGGATGGGATGTATTCGGGTTTTAGGAGGACTGAAAATATAAGGATATTACCATTGATGGTTATTAAAGGTTTTTGGATTTTTAAAAGTTACCTCATAAAACTTGTATTGAATGACTACCTTACCCTATTCCAGTACCCAAGCTGATGAGTGTATAGCCGAAAAAATTAGTTGAAACCTCTAATGAATCCTATTTCAAGTTTATTTCCTTTAGTTTTATTCTGAGAAATTCATTATATTTAAAAGTTTTTTTTGTAAAGGGACTGTTCCCTCTCTTTCAAAAACGGGTAACTTCCTTTATTCAATAAATTTTCAAGCAATAACTCCTTAATTGGGGCTATAGTTTTGTAAGGTTAAATATTCAGTGTATATCCCTTTAGTTGGGACATATTTCACTGTAACATTCATGAGCTTGTTTAGGTTTACTATAGTTAATAACTCCAGGAGCTTATTCAATTGCTAGAATAGTTATGCTACATTCATCACTGGAGCTCATTATTCTGTAGAACCCCATTTTAATAGATGTATAATATATGTAGATTTAGAATCTGTATTGTCTAACAGAGATACATAATAAACTTAAGCACATACCTGGTGTATTCTGCAAGCTATCCCGCATTTTAAACAATACTCATTCCTTTATAAAAAAAATGTTTTTTTTGGTATGCAACAATTTTCATTGAATCTCGGCGGGATTTTTCATTAAACACTGAATTGAAAAATCTTAGAAATGCGCGAATTTTTTTTACACAATTCACAAATTCCAATTTTAAATCAGTCAGTTCGCTTTCAGCTTTACAAAAAGGAATGTCATTTACTCTCAGACAAATTAGAATCAATGGAAATTTCAACCCCCGAGGGATTCAATGATAAACCCGAGGGCGGTTTTTTTTTCTGGTGTTAATTTTGTCATATCAATTGAACTAAACATCGATTAAATAAATGCAAGTTTTGGATTAATGGTTGTTATTGTTAAGACTCGTTGAAAATGATGATAGTCCTAACTTATGATAAAATGTATTTTTTAATAGGTTCATATTATTATGATTAAATTTATATTTGATCAGATGCTCTGAAAGCCGGCTTGCGAACAGCTGACTGTAATTCAATCGGATATTAGTCCAATCGATACAGCATTGTATCTGTAATTGTTATCAAACGTAACTTTTATACATTGGAGATATCCAAAATAAGAAGATTAAGAATAAAATGAAAAGTGTGTACGTTGGATAATCGGACTAAGGTATCAGGATTAAGGATATCTTATTCTAAAGTTTTCAGCTCTGTAAACATTAATTCTTCTAGTATTGTATTTGGTAAAGCTCTGGCAC